TGATATGTTTATCCTGTATTTGATTGTGTTTATCTGCAGTTAGTTACACGAATTCAGATATGGATCTTTAATAAGTTGTACATATGCACAATTTACTTGTAATCTTGARTTTTAAGTAATATGCATTAATAAACAGTATTTTACGCATAAAAAGTGATTTTTAAGAGTTTTTGTCAAATGATTTATAATATAGAATATATATATATATTTTTTATATATATAATTTAATTTAAGTTTAATAATAAAACAATTTATTATGTCTCTCCTTTTGGAACTAGAGCTAGTCAGCCTTCTAGGGCCTCGACCTCCTATTTGCGAGATACTCAGGCTCATTCTTCTGAGCCAGAAGAGCAAATTGATTCTTCTTCTCAACAACCTATTGATGAACTTCGAGTTCATAGAAATGGAATTGTTCATAACAATCCAGTTACCCAAGCAAGTAACATTAATATCCGACAACCTCATAAGGCTATAGAGACCATGTCTGATTTTACCCTCTAAGTTTTTAATGAATTTTTCTTCTTCAAGAAGTTGGGTTACTAATGAGGGAAAAATTGATTTCACTCATGGTTCTCCTGCTAGACAACTTGTCTGCAACGATTATTATGGTAATCCGAAATGGGCTCCCTTCAGAATATGGTATGTTGAAAATTTTTCAAAAGAAGAAATTGCTAATTTCTCTGCAGAGTTTTATGCCTTCTGCACTAAGGAAAATGAGACTTTCTCTTTTATTCCTTGGTTTTTTCATACTCATGTAAAACATTTTATAAATGTTCTTCAAAGGGATTATCAACTCCTTAATGGGGATATTAAATATACTATTTATCCTCATCAGTCTCCTTTTCTTATGAAAAACAATAATTCTTTCTTCAAATTCTCTGCTTTTTCTAATCTTATAAAAGATAATACTCTTTTTGTTACCTCGTTACATATTAACGAATTACTTGAAAAGCAGAATTATTCTAATCTTTTGTTAAAAATTATTGGAGAACAACTTTTTTCCATTGAGGATAATATTTCCTTAATCTTAAAAAAAATTTCTCAAATTGAGACAAATCAGCAAAACAACCAAATTCATATTCCTGCTGATAATACTTCCTCCTCTTCTGAGAAAGTTATTTTAACTTCTAATACTATTCAGCCTCCCCCTGAGATAACAGATTTCAAACTCAAATCCCCGGCTGATGATTTTATGAAACAGCTTGATCTAAAGCTTTCACATCTACATATTTCTAAACCATCCATTTCCATGCTTAATAAGGATTTCCATGCTGACTCTAGGTTAGAAAATTCGGCAGATGATGATTTACAAAATAACCAAATTCATAAAATGAAATGGGCTAAGACTCCGAATCTTAATAAATATTATTATAATCGCCCTACTCCTATGGATGTTCTTCATGAAGAACAGGAGTATATTATTAACAATAGTTATAATGGCAAATGCATTTATGAGTGGAGCCTTGATGGGTTTACTGATAAGCATATTTATAATATGGCTCATCGCATGTTCATGTATAGTACAGTTTGCAAGAACACAGGCAATAATGATAAGAGTATTGCCAAAATGATTATAGCTGGTTTTACTGGCCAACTCAAAGGTTGGTGGGATAACTATATTCCCCTTGTTCAGAAAGACCAAATTCTTRACTCTGTTAAGACTGAAAATGGTGAAGAAACAACCAATGTTGTCTATCCCTTAGTCCTTACTCTTATAGAGCATTTTACTGGTCGGTTCTCTGATAACTGTGAAAATATTCGAACTTTGATCAGTAATCTTCGTTGCAAGACTCTTACAGAGTTTCGT